CGGATATAAATAAAGCATAAAATGGCCCCAAAATAGGCTCAGCACATTAAGTTAAAAAGGTAATAAAAATTAAACAGGTCCGGGACTAGGGCACACTACCCTGTCAGAGTAGCCCTGAGTTTCAGAGCCTGCACTGTGAAGATTGCCACCCCACATGAAATTTGGGGATTTGCGTCCACAAGAAGTGCTTTCAAACAGTCTTCCTTAGATGAAATGGAGGACGGGATCAAGAGGAGGAGCTTAGGTCTTATTGGGTCATAAATAGGGCAGTATTTTTCTTTTCATTTTAAAAAAACTGTTGCTAGGATGGGGAGTGAGGATTAGCTTCATATCAGCACATAAGTACATGTGTGAACCAACCTGCAGTTAGTAGCAAACTTAACATCATCAAATAATCACAGCATAGATGCTGCATTGATTCAAAGAAAGGGAGGTGAGAAGAGGAAGAGGCACTATACAATCTGAGGAGGGCGAGTGATGTGCCGACATTGTGTAATCACCAGAATAATTACTTCAGGAATGATAACTGCTTAGATTTAAGGTATTATAGCACAAACCTAGGGCAATTTCTCCATCAAACAAACTAAAGGCTGTTTTAGATTTCTTTCAGAAAGACTGCCAATCTCAGAGTATTAAGAGAGTATCAGTGGTACTGAACTTCCAAGAAAATCAGTAGGCTTTGTGCCACTTAAATACTTCAAAAAGCACAATGGGAACTATTTTTTTATCATGTGAACCACCATGAGATCTTTGGATGAAGGGCGTAATAATAATAATAATAATAATAATAATAATAATAATTTAGATTAGGGTGGGAAAACTTTATAGCACAGGGAGGCAAATCTTTCTCTCCCTGTACTCCATGGGCCAACTTTCCTGGATGGACTGGGACACCAGCCTGTCAATCTGATATTATCATGATGTCAGATGACTGACAGGGTGGCAGTCCCACCCACCTGTCAAAGTTGACCCACAGGGTTGTGGGGGAGAGATCTGCAAAGCAACACTCAGCGCAGCTGAACTCTGCTCCCCAGCCGAGTGGAGAATTCAGTGCTGCTGTCTGCAGGGGTCTGCTTTGCCAACACATTTCAAACAGGGAATATGCTGGTCAAGTAGCATCCAGCATGACTGAACCATCACCTCCCTGCCTGACACCATCCAGTTATATCAACTAATTGACAGGTGGATCTGGTTGGAGGGGAAATACCTTGAGGGCCAAACTGGGCCCCTTAGTGGGCCAAGATTGGCTCGCAGACTACAGGTTCCCCATTTGTGGCATAGATTAATACCTGGAGTTAATGTCTGTCAATATTAGTGATGTCTATTACATTTTCAGTACCATTTGGAATAGTGAAATGGATTAACTAATCTAAAGTATGACTTTTACTACAAAGAGATGTTCAATAATGTTCAACCTCTTTAAGAGATGTTTTGTCTTCAGGCTAGCACTAAAGCTCTGCACGAATGAAAAAAAATCTGTGTAGAATCAATGTGTATACATTGGTGGGGGTAATGGCAGTTCCTGCCTCTGATTTCTACATGTTACTTTGCTCTTCTGCACAGAAGCTTGTTTGCTGTTTTGCACAAGGAGGGTGATGGAGGGTGATGGTGATCCATTCTCCATGTTTTTGATAATACAGTGGTACCTCGGTTTAAGAACAGCCCTGTTTACAAACTATTCGGTTTACAAACTCTGCAAAACTGGAAGTAGTGTCCCGGTTTGTGAACTTTACCTCAGTCTACGAACGGAAGCCGAACGGTATAAGTCCACCAGTGGCAGGAAGCCTCATTAGGGAAAGCACACCTCGGTTTAAGAACGGTTTCGGTTTAAGAACGGACTTCTGGAACGGATTAAGTTAGTAAACCGAGGTACCATTGTACACAGGTTTCCTTCTTCTGTGCAAGGCTTCAGCTTGAACAATATTCCAGTTGCTTTCAGTGGCATGTGCTTTTTGCATATGCACATATTGTGGGTTGGTGTTCATAATAATTGCATGCCATTACATAAGGCACAAAACACTATATTCAATAAAAAGAAAATTATTAAATACACACAGCTCACGAATGTCTCAAATATAAATATCTCGTCCAGCTTCAGCATGGCAAAATTCATGAACTCAAGCCTTAGCCTCAATAAGAACCTGATTTTATTTTGGGAATCCACATAGCTGACTTCAGCACATCTAGAACAGCCAGTTACAACCTCATAAGGACATAACTGTGGAGAAATAAAACTGGGACTAAATTAGATACTAAATTAGATGTACCTACTGTATCAGGTAGTCTGTGGTTGAAAGTGGCAGTCACCTTCATCAGCCTATTTTAAGCAAAGCCACTTTCAGGGGTTATCCTGAGATCTAGCAGGTCCTAGATGTTTTGCTATGGGACTCCATTTTGGTACACTGTCTCTTGATTCAAGACAGCTACAAATGGAAAAGGGCAAGAAGTTCAGTAGCTGCCGTAAGGCAAGGGTGATGAACATCCCTTCCAGGCAAAAACACTCAAGGAAGGCACAAAGCAGGCCTGATGCAAGCCTACTCCTAGGGGCTAAGGTCCCTTCACCTCCCTCAATAAAATATTTGAGGGGGCTGCCCTCCAAGTTTATGGCCATTGCCATTCAAAGGGGGGTGTATGTCACATGATGTAATCAATTATGCAGGGCAGGGCTTTACCCCCCCCCCCATTATTTTTTATTCAAGTTGGCATGCCTGATGTGAGGTGTGTGGCTGGGCAGGGGTTGTAGCCTGTGGAGAGTCTCAAGGACCAGAAAGATAGGCTGGAATAGCCATATTTGGCCCCCTACCCTGAACTCATCCCTTCCCTAAGATACCTCATGGTGTCTTTTCTGCCTCAAAAATGGCAGTAGAGGACTTCTGGGTCAGCGCCATCGGTGAATGGCGGAGTTCCTCCGACCGGAGGAACGGGCTCCGTGGAAACTGGGTCTTCCCACCGCGGCGAAGGTGGGGACCCGCTAGAAATCCCAGGTGGAGGAAGCCTGGGAATGTGGGGTTCGGCAGGGCACCAGGAGCGCCCCCCCTACTCACCGGGAACCCCATTTTGGGGCGCCGGAGCGAAGTGGGGTGAGTGGCGCGGTGCTGCGAACTGATTGCTATTTTCACGGAGTGAAGCCGCACAGCCATTGCCGGAGAGCGCTGACTTTTTCCTGTGGACAATTGGATTTAAAACAAGTACCCGTGAGTAGAAATGGAAAATTGGATTAAGAAATATCTCAATTTGGCATCGAAGCAGGAAGGTTCAAAACAGGAAGTCCGCCTTCCGCTTTTTGTATATAGACTAAAGCAAAAACTTTGTAAGCTAAAGCCTGGAAAGCTGTTTAAAAAGTCTAAATTTCCTTCATTCAGAATTACTGAAACCCCCTTGGAAGCAGGAGAAAAGGGGGGAGGACTTTGTTTAACCCCTGCAGGAGAGGGAGTGAAGAAGGATAAGTTTCCACCGTCTCTAACCTGGGAACGGGGTGTCAGAGACAGAAATTGTTGGAGAGGTTCATTGACTGTGAATGGAATACTTTGACAGATAGCTAAAGAAGAGAAACAAACTGATTCCAATGTTGCCTTTTGCATTCTAAAGAAACAAAATATCTGAAAAATATCTGAAAAATGAAAGTATTTTTCCTTTGTTGGACTTGCCTTAAAAAAAAAAAAATGGATACAAATAGAAATTGTCTCCTCTAGAGGGAGCTTGTTAAATTGTTGCTGCAGTATACTTGAGGATTCAACAGCTGTGAGATTAAGATCGTGGGACCAGTCTCTTCTGACCTTGACTAAAGATGAGCTGGGAGGAAGATTGGGTGCTTGCTCTATGCAAGACAAGTGCCTTGCTGGAACAGATGCACGAGAAGATGGATTTGATGAATGAGAAAACGGATTTGATAACTGTTGTGGTTAATAACTGTGGACAAACAGGGAACATTGATACAGAAATCATTCAGGAACCAACTCATGAACCTGTACTGTCTGGGCAAGTGCAGAAGATAATGGAGGAGGATGCGGTTGCACCTCAAATAATACAAATGGAGAGACCCGAGGCCCTACAGGAGCATAAGCCGCTGTCATTGAAGATTGAAGTTGGAGTGGGCCAGGGGGAGTTTGGAGCTGAGGAGGTTCCTAACAGAGACCTGGAAATATGCTTTTAAATACTTTTTGGACTATAGCGATGACTGTGGGGAATGGGTCTGTGGGGAATGGGCGGGTTTGATGAAGAGAGATGGAGACAATTTTGGGTTGGAATTCCCCAGAGACCTACTCCTCAATGTGAAAGGAAAGAAATTAAGAAAGAGACCAACAAAAGACAAGGAAAAGGGCAAGTATAAACAAGAAGAAGAAGAACTGCAGAAGGGACATGGAAGAGACTTAAGGGCCTCGGACATAAGGCTTCCAGGTTGATGGACTAGATGGAATAGACAGTAAGGACTGACACGATCCGAGACCAGGAAGAAGAGACGTTGGATGAAGATTGGAAAAAATTATAAATAAAAACTTTCTATTTAGGGAATTAGCTTAAAATTAATGAATATTAGGGAAAATGTTGTAATGAAACTATATGACTCTAGCAGAAATGATATCAGGAGTTATGTATATTTGAAAACTAAGATTTAAGTTCTAAGGTATTTTAGAGTAAGATAAGGTTAAATAAACTAAGGTAATTTGAATAACAGAATATGGGGAAAGATGGAAAGGATTTGTTGAGCTAATTATTAGGTTAAATTGTTAAGATAAATTTTTTAACAAAAATTGAGAAAGATGGAAAGAATTTGCTGAAACAACTAATTGAATTAGAATGCAAGAAGGGAGGTGTGAGGAGGTCAATGAAACAAGCAAATGGTAGTTATAGATATGTAATTTGGGATTTGTTTTTTCTTTCTTTCCCGTTTTCCTTTTTTCTTTGCATCTTTTTGCTGTACTGTTGTATTGGTTTTTGCGTTTTTTTTCTCTCTTTTTATGTATTATTGTGTTGTTTTTTATTTTTTCTTTATTTTCTATAATTCTGAAACTACTAATAAATATTATTTTTTTAAAAAAACAAAACCAAAAATGGCAGTAGAGATAGACTTTAGTTCTTTACTCTTTCCAGATTACAGTATATTTTTATTCCTTCATAACTAAGAAACTACTACAGCTTTATGCTGCAGTAACTTATCCTTAGCAGCCAGCAGCCCTTTAAAGCAGCACAGTATCGTTCTGAAGGCTATAATCCTAGCCTGTATAATTGCTGAACTGGACAAATTTAAAGCACCCCGTTCGTAATGTTTGACTATAGCTAATAGATTTGTTGCTTCCAAAAATGATGTTTTATACCCTCCAAGAAGAACTTTTCACCTACAGTTATATGTTGTTGTTCTCCTGTAAGGGTCTGTCAAATTAATAAACACCATAATCACATCGAGATCTTGGTCAATTTTATGAGGTAGAACCCTCTACGCTCCTTCATATCTCAAGGGAGAAATTTAGAACTTCATTAAAGCCACGGCAGCTTAAAAGGCTTCATCTGCATTCAGAAGCGAAAATGTCATAAAACATTCATAACCTCCATGCATTAGCACATCCTAAACTAAAATACAATTACATCAAGTCTGAGACGGGAGTCTGCTGCTAAAATAAAAATAAATAAAAAATTTCCTAGGCCAACATTTCTCTCAAATTTTAATGGCAACAGCAATAACACTGCTGGTTTTAAAATGCCAAATAGAAATCATTAAAAAAATATGCCTCAAAATTACCACAGCTGAAAACAAGAGGAGACACTAAACTTGTTTTACCTTGGGATCATCTAAGCAATTGATTACCTTTTCTGTTTCTTCTCCAGGCTCTAGGAATAATGGAACATAAATATTCGGATCCTAGAATTGGGTTGCATTTGTGTTAGTGGTTTTGCAAATCTGCCACCCATGCTTGGTTTTGCTGTATGGCTGGCAGAGGTGACCCAGAAATTGCCATTTCATTGGACCAAGCTCTACTGCACATGATAAAATGTGGGACACCAGCTCCCTTTTGGAGTTTGGTTCTCACTCAAAATCAAATGCTTTAAATGCATAGTGCAAATGGGGCCACAGTTAACATTCTCACCTCTTTATCCTGCATGAATCTACCCAGCTGTTATTGATACTGGTATCTGAAATCCTTTTCTTGGTTCTGCCTCCGCCTGACATAAAGCAAGTGATGAGACACGGCCTTGTCAATTGTTTCTCCACAATTTTTTAATGACATCCCCAGAGCACCTTGCATGTTGCCATGTCTGTTTTCTTTATGGTGTCAGGGAGAAACCTATTCATTTTATCCAGACGTTTTTGGTTATTAAGCTGTTGTTTTTTATGCAAGTGTTTCATTTTGCTCTGCTGTGGTGTGCACTTTATTTTTAGTGTACTTTATTCCAATTATTTTTATTGTTTTAATTTTTAAACAATTCTGAAAGCATCGGCTGAAGAATAGTCAATAAATAATTTACTAATACAATAATGAACATATTAAGGGGTTTGGTTATGTGTGTGTGTGTGTGTGTGTGTGTGTGTGTACCTCTTCAAAAGCACTACTTTCAATGCAGAAATCCAAACAAGACTGCCCTTAGAGCAGGCATACCATGTCAAATATATAATGTATAGTATTCCACCAGGCTTTTAAAAAACTTTGCTACTTATGGTTTTTATTGGCCAAAAAGGCATATGCTGAGACAGAGGCTTAGGATCTACTGGTTCAAAAGCCCTTATGTCATTGTCATCATCATCATCATTTTATTTGTATGCCGCCTTTCCATAGTTGAAACTATGTTCAAGGTGGCTTACAACATGACAAAAATTACATAATTACAAACATAGCAGAAGTCGTAAACAATAAATAAAACACATCAAAACCTACACAACCAAATGGAAATAATTTCCACGTAAATCATAAGATGTAAAACTAAAGATACAACAATAATATCAATAGCAGCAACAATCTCTCTCAAACCCCACAAACAATACTCCAGCCCAAGAATCTGTTCAACAGCCTCAGCTTTTGTAGCTGGAGTCAGTCAGCACTCCACTCTCCCAGGCCAGATGGGAAAGGGCCAGCAAGGCAGGGTGCAGGTCTTCCAGGGCTCAAAGCCAAGACGGTTTCATTTAAAACAACACAGATAAAAACTAGAAACAATTTTAAAGAGGAGCCCTCTCTACTGAGCAGCAGCCGCAGTCCTTGTGAAGCCTATCAAGCCCCGCCCCAAGCCAGGTGGAGAGAGGCAAGGGAAGGGCCCTTCAGGCCCTCAGCAGGCAGTCCTCCTTGACATTCTATCCCCCCACCCCACCAATGCATAGGGCTGGCATACTGATTTCCCTTCCAACTGGGACCAATGAGAATGAAATATCTCATTTCCTGAAGAAGAAGAAAAGGCACCCCCTACCCTGAGAGAGAGGGAGAGAGAGAGTGTGTGTCCTTGGCCCACTTTCTGCTCTACCAGTGTGAGTCTGTTGGGGCTGCATCCACCCCACTTGCTCCCTCTGCCCAACGTGGTAGGATTGCTTGGCCTATGGTCACTATGGACCACCCTGCTGAGACCACCTTGATAACAACAACAACAACAATTCTACATTAATGGCCCTTCTTAGGACCAACACGTGGTATAACAATGTTTTGTTTTGTTTTTTTGAAAAAAACCCTAAATAAATTAATTATTGACCCAGCCTCACTCAACAATGACTAGAGGCTGGGATGCTCAGTGGAAGAGCGCATCAATGGAATAACCCCTACTTGTTGCTTCCAGCATATTTGGAATTAAACGTTCTGTAGGGGTGAACATCCAGACATTTACAGCGGCCCGTCCTTAATGAACATTCCATTAATAACTCTGCAATATATGAATACAGTCTTCCTGTTCTTCAAAATAGTTTCAAAATTATTCTTTGAGCAAATATCCTTGAAGAAGCCACGAAGCATTCCCTCCTACAATATTTAGTTACTTTTCCAACTATTTTTAGTCATTGCAATTATTATTTAAAGAAAGGCACGGTGGATTTGTTTCTGCACATAAAGTCTTCAGTTTAGGATTTGTTATCCGCTTGATTCATGTGATGAAATCTGACCTCTTTAATTGGATGAAATAAGTCCCCACCATCGCCACCAAGAGGTAAAATACATCAAATGGTATGTTTATAATAGACATTTTTCACCTGGGGAACATCATAGTATGACTTCAGGATGAAGAATCCCCCGATGTCAAATCTGCAGCAGTGCTCCTAAATAAAAAATGAGTGCACAAATGACATAAAATAAATGTTGAGGGTTTTTTTCCTCAGTTTGTAAGGATGGCTGAATCAATTCTCTTGACTACTTGCGTCCTCAGAGTCATTACTTTCTATCAATTTATTTTCCTTATACTTTCAGTGCGGTCTTCAGTATTTAGGCAGGTGGATTAAATGGCTTTGCAGTCAGACAGCATTCACACAACATCCGTTTCCTCTATGAGATCATTTCTATAATAACTCTTGACGAAATGTTTTGACTACTACTCAGGCTGGTGTCACCATGTGAGGATGCTTAGGCAACTGATATGTTCTCAGGGTCCCGATGTCAGGGGCTGGACTTCTCCTGAACCTTCCCAAGGGCAGGAGGACAGTATGGATTTAGAACAGTGGTTTGCCGAAGGACATAGTCCAGAGGGGGAAAGCTGGGAAATACTGGGTGAGGAACAGCTAGAAGAGGGAACAGCAGGAGAGAGAGAGAGACAGCTGGCAGATCCAATGTCCTCGGAAAGCATTCCTCACCCCCCCACTTCGCCTGACTAGGTGGATTTTGAGAGCAAGAGAAAAGAGAGCTCAGTGGCAGCAAGCTCAGATTATCCAAAGTAGGAGTGACGTAGATTAATGGAGATGGAGGGGATGACATTTACTGGGAGCAACACCATTTTTAGAGAGAGATGCATTCCTTTGTCTCTCACTGTGATTATTAAAGAAACTAACTGGTAAATACATTCCTTTCATTTGATCTGCCTATTTATTGCCACAGGGGAGGGATCTGATTGTCAGGAGCTCATCCTACACTCGAGTAGGACCCTGGCAGAGACACATGCCCAACTGGGATGTTCTCTCCCTCCTGGTCAATCGTTCAGGAGCTTCAGAAGCTTTCTTCAGCCGGAGCATCACAGCGACCGATGCCAAGAGACCGGCACACTTAGGGATCCGCAGAGTCTTCGCAGCTTGTGTAACAGACCTCAGCAACTCAGCATTCTGGCTAATCTACTTTGTTTACATATAAACATGCACGGAGCACTGCAACATGGCTCCCTCTCTCTCTAGCATCAGACAGCAAAAAGAAAGAACAAAGGACAATAGTCCCACTTCACGGAACACAGTAACACAAACATCCTGTCTCTGTCACTTCCCACTTTGTGGAGTCAAAACATACACCGTCATGTGATAGTCAAAAATCAAATGACTGCAATCATGGAGCAGGAATACTAACACTGATTCCCCAAAGCCTGACACCCAACAAGTCTTACAGAGAATGCCTGCCATAGTTTAATTGCTACCATGGTCTGACTCCAGGGGACTGTAGAAAATTCAAATAGCAGTTGTCCAGTGGCAATCAGATAAGCAGCGTTATAACTGGATAGGCCTACATGAGGGGAGGCACTAGTATAGGATGGAATTCACCACAGAGTACTCTGCTGAGGGTGTCCTAAAGCTTGAAGGTGACTCTTATTCCTAAAATAATAATTAAAAAAATGCCCATTGATGGAAGCTTGAAAACTCATAGAGTTATTAGGAATAGGAATGTTGCTCCACAGTAATATTGTCATGGATATATATGGGTAGAACTGCTAGGAACTGGGGGAAATTGTTGTTACTATTTTAATTTAATACCTGCCCTTCACTCTAAGGTCCGAGGGCAGGTTAGAAGAATTTAAAAGACAGCATTGAAAACAGTTTAAAACAACTGACAGTCACAACAAAGGTGGGTCCTAAAAATATACAGCTCAGGTTTCAGCTTTTGCTGAAGTTGTCAGACTCAACTCTGTGGGGAGGAAGATAATAAGGCTGCCACAGATAATGCTCTTTTCCAGGCCATCACTACTGAGGTTGGTGGAGCTAACAAGAGGATTCCCTCTGCTGTTCTTGAAACTAGAGATGGACTGCAGGGAAGGAGGCAGTCTTTCAGCTACTTGGGGGCTGGGTCATTGGTGGCACCTGATGGAATCTTCTGTATGAAGCAACAGCTTTACTGTGAGATTTTGATCAGCTCCTGCCCATCTGGAGCTGACACAGGCTCGTCTTATCTTGAGCCCAAGCAGAGCGTAGTCACGCAGCAAAAGGATAAGTAGGTAATGTGCTACATATTGAAGTTTATTTACAAGCTATGCTGAGAGCATACAGACAAAGATCTTGCCTCTGTGAGAGCAGAGAAGCAACTCCTCTCGACACAAAGAAACCGAGAGAACACTGAAAAACAGGAAACCAGTGTACGTCACATCCAGTCTCCCATTCCCGTGGGAACCCAACAGTAACTCTGACTGTGGAATGTAAACAATGTCTTGTGACAAGCAGTTTTGCTGCTCAGTGAGGGAAATAGAAACCAACATTTACTGCAATTCTTAAATGTTCTTAAATGTTCATAGTATCTTTACAAGAGAGGGAGATAGGAAGAAAACCAGAACAGCTTGGACATGTGTCCATAATTCCTACCAGATCTATTTGGTACCAGTCACCTCTGCCTCCCACAGTCATTGAAGGCAGGAGGCAGCTTGTTTGAACACCCTTAGTATTGTATCAGATGCTGGGTGGGGGGGATGGAGAGGACATCTTCATCTCCTTTCTTGTAAGCGCCCTTTGAAGCAGAGGTGGTCATGGTTGAGAACAAAACAATGGACAAATGGAGTCTAATGATGATGATAATAATAATAATAATAATAATAATAATAATAATAATAATTTATACCCTGCCCATCTGGCTGGGTTTCCCCAGCCACTCTGGGCGGCTTCCAGCAAAAGATTAAAAATACATTAAAACATTAATATTAAAATTAAAACATTACATTAATATTCTTGAGGGCAGCTCAGTCTACAAAAGGCATGTTTGTGATCCCAAACACAGAATTAACAAGGGAGACAAGTATATAAGAAACAAGTATATTAGAGGCAAATCCTACCCCTTAATTCCTTATTATTAATAGCACATGTTTCAGGGAAATTATGATGTAATGAAGGGGCACTAAATACTCTTCCTTTGTGCTTCCCTGACCCTAGAAATAAATAAAAACTTTGGTCCTAAAATAAAGGGATGTATATAGGAATATTTCTTAACCCCTTCCTCTGTTTTATTTTCATGATATTTTCAGGATCTCTCTCCCCCTCTCTCTCCCTGAAGGACAATTTCTCCTGGCAGCAAGCAAAGCTTTTATTCTGTTTTTAATCTTTAATGTTGGTTAAAAAGTAATAATGCATCTTTATGACGTGGATTATGGTGATAAATATTTCAAGGAGTTGCATAAATCTGCCATGTCACAGAGATGCAAGGTGGTGAAGGATGATGCCTGACTTGAAAAAGGAACATTTCCCTTTTGAAATGGATCAAAGCGAAGACTGTCATGACTGTCTACCCAGTTTATCTCCTTTTGCATCTCACATCACTATCTACGTAGTAACATGCAGGGGACCTGGAAATCAGTATGGTTGTGATAATGTTGCAGAGCCTGGAATCTTCCTGTCTGCTGCAAAATCTCGTAAGGGCTGGTAAGTATGTGTATATGCATCACTTGCTGGCCACAACATTATTGCAGAGAAGAGAGAGAGAAGGTTCTTTGTCTTACCTCTAGGAAGACATTGTATTTAAATATTTCATTTACATTGTATTTAAATATGTATTTATGTATTTCAAAATATGAACTTCTAATCATACATTTCAATATATGTTTTGAGCCATGAAATGAGTCGGAACAGATGGGAAGTAGAAAAATTGCTGGGTTCTGATCCATATAGTGTGGCTCAAGCCAGCCTGCTTCAGAATACTGAATTCTTTGGACCTTCCTACCTGAATTACAGCTCTCTGCAACAGTGTGGACCTGGTGAATTACTCTAAGGAAATAATTCCCCAGGACAGATGCTACTACTAAAAAAAGCTCTTTGCTGGAATAGGTGACTCTTTCTTTGGATAAAGGTTGAACCCAACCAGAACATCTCTCCAGCAGCTTTTAGTTCTCATTTATTTTATTACATCTTTGATAAACTACTGCTCATGGTTCTTCTGCCACTCAGCTTATCCTCCATCCTACCAGTGATCCCAGGAAGAAAATTATGCCAAGAGATAGTGACTGGATCAAGCTCACTAGCCTAGTAAGTTCAGTGGTTGTGGGATTGGACTGAACCTTGATTTCCCTGCTGCTACTATGATGCCCCATTTCCTTCACTATTTGCACTCAGGCCATTTAACACTAATTCTGTGAATTTATCCTTGGAGGTATATGAAGGTAGGGGAGGAACACTACTGCAAGGCAATACCTTACTGCTGCATTATGGTCCCTTTGCGCAAATCAGGACCACTGAGATTTATCAGCGTTTGAAGTGGGTGGTATATGGTGGAATGTGGAACTCCACTTCTGTTGAATGGATGTAAAACAGAGCAGGGTCACACCAGTACTGCAAAAACAAAAACAAAGAAACCACTTAATCCATGCTACAAATGTCTCTGGTCTGGGCAAAGCTGGAAGATGCAAATAGGTCCTGTAATAATGTAATTTGCAACATAGTCATAAGGATGGCGAACGGGCTGCATGCTAAACTGTCTCTGGCTGAATTAAAAATGAAACCCTCTCACTTTACCTCCACATCCCTTTTAGAATACAGTGGAACCTCGGTTGTCGATGCTTCGGAAGTCAAACGTTTCGGATTTCAAACGCTGACAACCTGCTTCTGTTTTCAAACACGCCTCGGAAGTCGAATGGCTTCCGAGGCGCATTTCTCCATTTTTTCAATGGATTTTGCCAACCGGCAATTGGTTGTTGAACACTTCAGAAGTCGAACGGTCCTCCGGAATGGATTATGTTTGACAACTGAGGTTCCACTGCACACAGGTTATGAAAGGCTTATTCCCCCTCTTTGTATTTACAAAGCTTGCTAGGTTAAATAAGGGGTTATGCAAATTCACGGAGGATGTCTATCATAGGCTACCAGCAGTGGAGTGGAGCTGGCCTTCTGACTCTGCATCATTAAAGCTTACTTGGATAGGCATGGGGCAGAGTAGGGTGACAGTGAGACTAGGGCTGCATGTTTTGCACCAATAGGAGTGCTGGGTTGGCTCCACCAGTGCATTTGCACAGCCCTGCCCTTACCGCCATCCTGCCTGGCCCCAGTCCTATCTAGATATGTTGCAATGTCAGGAGGGGAGTTATGTGGCTCCACCGGCTGCTTCTGATGGCCATTAGTCACAGTGTCCATACAGAACTTCCAGGTTCACAGGTGTATGCTGGGGACCAACAGTGGGAGAGGGGCTTTGTACCCTGCCTGTGGCTTCCTGGAGGAACTGGATTAGCTACTGTGGAAAACAGGACGTTGGCTTTTGGTCCGATCCTGCGCAGATAAGCTTGGCATCTGCTACATGCATCATAGCAGAAAGGTTAAATTAGATTTCATCACTGGGTCTGCAGAATGTAGCCCTATCATGTACTGCAGAATCATATCCATTTGTTTTACTCAAGATAAAAAGACAGTTTAATGGGGGAAATGCAAAGATGATGGAGAATGTTTTGCTGAAGCAAAGCTAAATGTCTACAGGTTGTGGCTTTCATTTTTCTAAATGTTTTGTCTTTCATCTGAAACTTGGGAAGCCAAAATGAAACATGCAGTAAATATTGCAACATTAGATTCAACTGAGCATTAAGAACAGCCCTAGAGATGCTTTTCGCGGGTATATGTTTTCTCTTCATCATTTTAACTTGCCTCTTTGCTCACCCCTCTTTCACTGCTCCATCAGTATCTTGAAGGGGAAATTTGTCTCCTGACCAATCTAAAGAGCAAAAGATACTTAGAAACAAATATGCTCACATTTAAATACATGAATATATATTCAAGCATGATATTACCAAAACAGTGAGTTTAGTATATGGAAATGATGGAGATGTGATCTAATCTCAAGCTGACAAATTCTCTATACCAGGCATATTTTTCCGGATTTCAGCAATTTCTATAAAAAGTATTGTGTAATTATACTGGGCATATCTAGGGCTTTTGCGGGAGCTGGGAGCACCTGCCATTGAT